AGTGGCATATTTCCATCTTGCTGGAAATTTGCGCACATGTTTCCCGTTCACAAAAAAGGAAGTAAACGAGCTGTGGATAAGTTCCTACCTCACGCCTCCACGAGTAATATGATCACAAAAGACTGCCAGCTGAAACATGGACACAGCTGGTTGGCGTAGCCTGGGAGATGTTGTCAATTCGACAATAGCACAGTGAGGAGGTGCGACGCGAACACTGGCGCGATAACCATAGCACGGTGATAGAGGAAATGCTTCGTCAACCCGAGCGTCTGTTCACCATGGAGGGGCGGCTCAAACAGCGTCTGACTGGCATCCAGCGGCTGAATAAGATATGCTCTTCCCCGGAAGCTACACCTAAGATGGCAGCCCCATCACGGCGGATAGGAGACCTTAGGCCAACCACGTACTGTCTCTGAAACCTTTACAATTGTTACAGAAACCAACGGAGAAAGATATCGAACTGATTTAACGGCAACGACTTTTAGCGCAAGGCAACGGACACGAATTGGATCATGGAATGTATTGACGTTATCCCAGCAGGGTAAACTGGCAAAACTCGCCAACGAGGCGCGACGCATGAAGCTAGAAATCCTGGGACTGAGTGAAGTTCGTTGGCCAAACTTTGGAGAACACAAACTGCCGTCAGGACAGGTACTACTATACTCTGGTATTCGAGGTGAAAACGCTCCCCGCCATCGTGGAGTTGGTCTCCTACTTAGCGTCAAGGCAAGTGCTGCGCTCATCAAGTGGGAGCCTGTTAATGAGAGGATAATCGTTGCCAGATTTAGAACACGGGTTCGTAACCTTACCATAATCCAATGTTATGCGCCAACCGATGCTGCAGAGCTACAGGACAAGGAGAATTTTTACAGTCAACTGAATGCCGTTGTGGATAAGGTTCCAAAGGGTGACATCAAGATCTACACTGGCGACTTTAATGCGAAGATCGGCTCCGACAACACGGACTATGAGCGTATCATGGGACGCCATGGTCTCGCCGAAATGAGCGAGAATGGTGAGCAGTTTGCAGAATTTTGTGGCAATAACGACATGGTGATCGAGGGCTTGCTCTTCCCCCATCGGCCAGTGCACAAAGTCAAGTGGGTTTCCCGTGATGGACATACCGAAAATCAGATCGACCACATCTGCATCAGTCGAAAATGGAGACGGAGCCTTCTTGATGTCCGGAATAAACGCAGCGGCGACATCGCGTGTGACCATCACCTTCTAATCGGCGAAATCCGCCTACGCATGGCGCGGATCCAGCGACGGGACGAGAGACTCGGGCGGCGGTTCAACACACGCCGACTTGAAGATCCAGCGGTAAAAAGGTCTTTTGTTGAAGAACTTAAGACTCGAGCTGCGGACGTTCCAGAAGGTGGCAGCATAGAAGAACAATGGACGGCCATCAAGAATGCCTTTATAGAAACAAGCGAGAACAACTTGGGTGAGCTGCGCACCCAGAGAAAAGAGTGGATCACAGATGAAACCTAGCGGAAGATTGAGGAGCGTAGAGAAGCAAAAGCCGCGATAGAGCGGGCGAGAACCAGAGGAGCCAAGAACGAAGCCCGTCAACGGTACTTGGCTCTAGAGAAGGAAGTCAAGCGCTGCAGACGGGACAAGCGAGCGTGGGTGAACTCCCTGGTCGACGAAGGGGAGAAAACCGTAAACACTGGCGATATACGCCTCCTCTACGATATCTCATGACGCCTGAGTGGAGCAAGGATGAACCCGAGGATGCCAGTGGAGGACACGACTGGACAATTGCTTACCGACCCCACTGACCAGCTGAAACGCTGGTTTGAGCACTTCGAACAACTTCTTCAAGTTTCGACGGCCAACCAGCCATCAACATCTCGGCATGATCCGCCTAGGGTGAGGCGCATCACTCGCGTCAATTCCGAGGCCCCATCACTGCAGCTATCCGAAACATGAAATCCAACAAGGCTCCAGGGGTCGATCGCATATCAGCAGTGATGCTCAAAGCTGACCCCATGCTATCCGCACAAATGTTGCATCAACTATTCTGTAATATCTGGGACACCGCGACTTTTCCGGCCGACTGGATGCAGGGCATCTTAGTGATGAACTAGCCTACGGCTAAAAATCACAAAAATAAAGAAAAAAAAAAAAAGAAAAAAAAAATCTTAGTGAAGATTCCAAAGAAAGGGGGTCTGGCTGTGTGCGACAATTGGCGAGGCATCATGTTACTGTGTATAGTTCTCAAAGTTCTGTGCAAAGTTATCCTGAATCGGATACAGGAGAAGATCGACGCGACTCTCCGACGGCAGCAGGCAGGATTCCGTGCCGGAAGATCTTGTGTGGACCACGCTTCGCAGTCCCTTTATTTGGTATTCATTGACTACGAAAAAGCTTTCGACCGTCTCAATCACGAGAATCTGTAGGGCGCCCTGAGACGCAAGGGAGTGCCGGATAAAATCGTCAACCTCATCGAAGCGTAGTATGAGGCTTTCACGTGCAGAGTTCTGCATAACGGAGCCTTGTCCGACCCTATCCGGGTAGTCGCTGATGTGAGACAAGGATGTATACTATCACCGCTACTGTTTCTCATCGTAATCGACGAGATCATGGTAGGTGCAATTGACCGTGTACCGAACCGTGGGCTGCTTTGGCAGCCTATTACCATGGAGCATCTCAACGACTTCGATTTGGCTGATGATGTTGCTCTACTAGCACAACGGCGCTCTGATATGCAGAGCTCAATGACCTAGCCGAACGCTCCTCTGCAGCGGGTCTCACCATCAACGTCAACAAGACCAAATCGTTAGATATCAACACGGGCAACCCTTCCAACTTTACGGTAGCGGGGCAAGCAGAGGAGATGGTCGAAAGTTTCCAATATCTTGGGCAGCCAAATAGCATCGGACGGCGAGACCAAGAGCGACATAGGTGCACGAATCAAGAAGGCTAGGGATGCCTTTGCGAGTTTACGAAACGTATGGAGATCCAACCAGATAAGTCAACGCACCAAAGTCCGAATTTTCAACTCGAACGTGAAATCTGTGTTGTTATACGCCAGCGAGACGTGGTGTGTATCAGCGGAGAACACTCAAAAGCTGCAGGTCTTCATCAACCGATGCCTGCGGTATATAATTCGTGCCTGGTGGCCTCACAACTGGATCTCGAATGCCGAGCTCTATCGTCGATGTCATCAGAAGCCGATAGCAACAGAAATTCGAGAGCGAAAGTGGAGGTGGGTTGGCCACACACTTCGACAAGCAAGCGCTGGATTGGAATCCGGCAGGACATCGCAGCAGAGGCACACCCAGGGGCTCATGGCGGCGGAGCTGGCAGGAGTAACTGACTATAAGATATATGTTTTTTTTATGTTATGACCAAGCTTGAATGTATTTTTTTACTACAGTTGATAAGGTAAACATCATTGGGGCTTCATCCAGCCTGTTGATGTAAAACAACAATAAAACACAATGCGGTCAATAACAACCTTCGATTTGCCTGGCTACCCGGACACTGCGAAATAGCTCGGTCGGGAGTCAAGTTTGTATACCAATGAAACGCCAGCTGGCGACATCAAAACATGGGTTAAAGCGATCATCCAAGATGCTTGAGCCCAAAGCTGAAATGGTCCAATCAGTCCTGCTGGAAAAACCAACGAATCCTATCGCGTCTAAGAACGGGTCACACTCCAGCTACCCATGATTATTCCATAGTACCAGACAGACACACACGGTGCGATATATGCCAAATACAACAATCCGTAGAACACATACTTGTGAATTCTCGGGTAACATTTGAAAAGGGCCTATCCTCGTTGATCGATTCTCTTCAACGACTTTCTCTTTGGTTTACCACGGCAACATAAGCAAAGCGGCAAGCACAGTTTGACAGTTAGCTTGCACCTGAAACAACACGCTGAATGGGAAATTCATTTGCAGTCGGGTTAGTCGCGAAAGAGAAAATTGATCAAGAGAATCGATAAACAATGACAGGCCCTTTTCTCGTGTTGCGCAAGAATTGTCCCAAGCATGCATAAGGATCAACAACGTATGTATGGTATCCACGCTGGAGTGCAAAACGTCCTAACGTCGGTTTACAAATGTGTGACCAACTATACATTAGGGTATAGAAATAACGTGACAAAAGGGGGGAGTTGGGGTTAATTTTCCTTGAATTTTGCGTGACATACTTAATGCAAGCTCCCTTAGGAATACATTTTAAGGACAGATCGATAGCCCTTACCACGTGTCATGCATTTTATCTACGAGATCATCCCAAGTTCGATTAAGAATCTCCACAATTTATTCATCTTTATTTACTCGAACAAGAGATGAGACGCACAACTCTGACAGACAGACAAAACGGAACGACCTTGCCAAGTAAGTTCCTATTTTTAACCATCCGTTTACCTTCGCATCTCAGATTCTCGCTTACAACAAAGAGCTGAAAACAGTCCCGAAATACGCCAAAAGCAAACAACCACCAGTTCGTGTTTGGAACTGAAAATGCAATCGAACATGCAAGAGCATTTTACATTTGAGGAGTCGCACTTTGAACGCATTTGCCTTTAGATCCACCCGCTCACTCCCGGCGAAACAAAAGAAATTACCTTGCGGGTTGCCCTCAAGGTTGCACCACGATCAAACGATGCATCGCAAAATAGAGTCATGTAAGGATAGCTAGGTACTACAAACACACCAACCAACGTCAACAGCCATCCGCGTGCGTTTCAGCTGTGCATCGTGCGTGCGTGAATGCAGGTGGACGTCAAACAGTAGTTGGTTCGCTAGCTAACTAACTTTGTATGTGTGTATAAGTGGGTGGGTGGATACCCTTTTGCTACAGCTTCTGCTTGCACGGGAAAAATCAATAATATTTTGTTGCTTTGTTTTGGTTACGCGCTAGCAGTTTGGGGGAAAAACGATGTTCTTGTTTTATGATTTGTTTAGCTTATAAATCTGCTTAAATCTACTTTCCCGAGGATATAATCCAACTTCTTTCGAAAAATAGAAAAAACTTACCATTATGATGTGAGCAGCCGTTTCCAAATCCTTTAGGTACGACTCCTCCATTGTGATCTCTTGGGTCTTAATCGAAAGCAGCGAGGAAGATTCTTTCCACGCAATCAATCACGACCACGTTCGCGAATTTCTTCGCCTTATTCAGACCTCTTCTATGGCTAGACGTGTTGGATCAACAAATTCCGTCTTCACTGTGGTAAAAATTCCCTTATACAAATAAAAGCAGTCCAAAAACTGCTACCGCTGCCAGTTTTTTTCTGTATTTTCCTACTTTCTTGGGGCCATTCGGAACACTATCAGGTTTCTTATTTCAACACGGGTCCGTCGCTGTCGTCGTCGTGATCTTTTTTTTTTTGCTCTCCTAGCACGAGATTCTTGTCCCTGTCTGCTGCTGCAGCTACCGCTGCTGCTGGTGCTCCTGATTGGGGTTCGGGAATTGTGAAAATTTTGGGGCCCAGTTTGGGATCGGCTAAAATCGGCTTCCGGTCCAAATTGCCTTCCACACACACGTACACTACAGCACTACACGGGAAACGACGGGAGGTATGTTTTCACTCACTTTTCGGGATCGCTAGTTGTGGGATTTGCTGGGAAAATAATAAAAAAGAAAGGTTCTTCACTATTTTTTCACGCACAATGTCTTTCGGGCGACGAACAGTGGAGAAGTGCGAGTTTTCCTCCTCGGACGGAAAAGCAGCGTGAGATGGAGAACACGAAAAACGACGAACTTTGACAGCTGCGGAGTGGGATTTCGATGCCTACAGAGGCGGAAAAAAAGCTCTTCATAGCATCTTTCACAGCGCGAGGGCTGAATGTCACTCATGGTGTTTTGTTTTGTTCTCGTCTTTCGGTTCGGCCGGCTCAAGCAGGGCTACCAAATTAAAATCTGTGTTTTTGCTCAAAAAAATCTTCTTATCTTTGTTTTTTTAGGAAATCTATGTATTTCCTTTAAGAAAAGTTATGGGGCCAAAGCATGCCAAAGCTAATAAAATTTGTGGATAAAAGTAGGTGATACAAAAATTGTACAAAGGTTGAAGAATTATTACTGTTTAACCACAATCAAAAGCTTAAACTCCTAATTTATAAAAAAAAAAACAAAAAAATCTGTATAATCTGTATTAAATCTGTGATCTGTGAATGAAAATTCTAAAAAAAAACTTAATTAATCTGTAATTTTGGCAACCCTGTTCGGTAGTTTGTACAAACTTCTATCGATTAACGATCGGTGGGCGATCAGCTGTCGGCTCGATTATTGATCAAAGTTTTACACTATTTTAAGCTTAAACATGTACTCTGTTAGGTTAAAGTCAATACAGCAAAACAATTTCGAAGTGTGCCGCTTCTGTTTGCATACAAAAGCGGATGAACTGAGCAGTTTCTATGAAAAAGTCGCCAACGATGTATTTGCTATAAATAATACGATTCGTAGTGTGTTGACAATGCTTGGAATTGAGGTTTGAGAAAAATTGTTTTACTCATGTTAACGTTAATGCAAAAACAAATTAAATCCCTCCGCAAACAGGTTGGACCAAGTGACGCATTCCCCAAGCTTGTCTGCATCAATTGTCGCGATATGTTGATGTCGATGCATCACTTCCGGAACAATGCCCAAAAGTCGATGAAACTGCTGGAGCAAGCCATGGCCATGCAGCAACCGGTCGATATAAAAGCTGAAAATGACTCGGACGAGTACGTGATAGATGACAGGGAACCCCTGGATAATGTACTGTACGAAGAATTGATATCGGAAGTAGTAATCGACGAACAGATATACGACAACGAAACGAAAGTCGAGGAGAAGGAGGAAATTGAAGTCGCAACAACTATGCTTTCGATGAGCGAAAGCAGCACCGGTCCAAACGATCCAGAACCAGAAGAAGAATCCGAGGAAGCTTACCTGAAAAATGGCTACATCCCCATTCAGGAGTGTAAATTAGAAATCATCCCAAAGCAAAAGGCACTGAAGAAACGTAAGCCAGCAACGTATCACATTTGTCCGATATGTGGTGCTCAAACTACGGCTATGGCAGTCCATATGCGAACCCACTCCAACGATAGGCCGTACGCGTGCGACATATGTGACTTAAAATTCTACACCAGTGGAAAACTGCGCTGCCACCGCGATTCCGTGCACATCGCAGAACGAAAGTTCTCGTGCGAAATCTGTGGAAAGGCATTCGTGCTGAAGAAGAACCTCAAAGCCCATATGATGTCTCATTCGGACAAAAGGGAGCACGTGTGTTCCTATTGCTCGAAAAGTTTCCTCTTCAGATGGTCACTGACGGCACATGAACGGATCCATACCGGCGAGCGACCGTACTCTTGTGACTGGCCAGAATGTGGAAAGAGGTTCGTTACGGTTTCAAACTTGATTCAGCATCAGAAAACCGTCAACCACTCGAAGGAAGTAGCGGTGGAGATTTGCTCGCTTTGTTTAAAGGCTTTCCAGACTCAAGCAGCACTGAAAGCGCACCGGACCAAGACGCATGGCACGGATACACATTAAACCATTTGCATTTTAACTAGGAATCCTAGTTTTGAGCAGCGTGGAATTTAACATTTATTTAAATGTACATGTAAACCTAAAAATCCAAATTTAGCTGTCTCGGTTCTTTATGTCTCTGTGTAATTTTGTTAAAAGTTGTGAACATTTCCGTGTTTCCAAAATGTGTCAACACTTAGATTATTTTACCGAAATCTCAACAGCTGCGATAAACAGTTCGGTAATTATTCACAGATTTCCTGTAATTTTTCACAGATATTCGGTGAAAAATTACAGGAAATTTGTGAAAAATCACCGAACGTTCAGCTGTTGAGATTTCGGTAAAATTTCACAGATTTCGGTGAAATAATCTTAGTGTGACGAGGCACCATCACTGCAGAAATTAGAAGCAGTTATCCGAAGCATACATTCCACAGAGATGCTCAAAGGTGACCCCATACCATCCAAGTTGTTTTTAAAGCACAGACAAACAGACATAACACTCGCAAGTTGTTCTTCGAACAAGCATTTAACGGTAAATTTAAAAGTATCGTAGTTGGTAGCACCGCCACCTGTGGCGCGCATAGTCAATTTCCTTGCGTTTGACGTTTACACACTACCGCCATCTGTTCAGCGTACTACCTACCACAGTGTACTCAACAGATGGCGGTAATGTTTTAGCGACGATGTTTTACATTGAGAAATATCCAATGTGTTATGTCTGTTTGTCTGTGGTTAAAGTATATATAATAAAATAATAATATTTCAGTTATTTCTAATAGATGAACCAGTCTACGGCTGAAAATCTCTTTAATGAAGGACAACCAACAAACCCGTCTGTAAATCTCCCTTTCTGAACTTCTACTAAGTGTCCTATTATCCATGATAGGATGTATCCTGACCATTTTCTCTGTTTTCAAAGCAGGAACCTCAACCTTGAGTTTTGTTTAGGTTCTTTGGACAATTTTAAAGTACTGAAAAGTTTGCTAATTTTTCTTAATGTTCTCTTTGCAAAACGCTTCAAATATTTTGAAAAAAAATTAAACTTCTTTGAAGAACCCCAAACTAAGCTTCTGTGAGGTTCCTAAACGTCTCTCCAAAAAGTTGACGAACCAGCCCAAGGCTGAAAGTCTCTTTAATAAAGGAAAAAAAAATCTCTGAGATATTTCGAACCCGCTTCTGGGGTTCCCCGAGACGAGCTAGTCAATGGCTGAAAGTCTCTTTAATCAAGTAACCTAGTCTAAAATAATCGCAGGAATTTCTTGAGTCTTACCTGAAGAATAAACTTCTAATATTTAAACAAGTTTTTAGCTCGACATACTGTACTGTACCAATTTGATCTAGTTGTTGCACTACCAGGAAAAAAAGCACTACAAATAATTTAGAACAAAGTTCTGAAAATAATTTGGAAGTTGCCTCCATGGTACAGTACTGCCGAGGTACATAGAATTTCGAATGTTGAGACTTTAGAACATATGTTCAACAAAATAATTAATAATTTCCGGCGGAAATCGTTGGAATCCTCAATTTCAACGATTAATTCCCTTTATGTTAAGATAAAATTTAGTTTTAATGTTTCGTATTAAGATGCAAATTGTTATACTGACATGCAGGTATAGAAAACCTGTTTAAAATACTGAATTGCCAAAGCAGGATCAATGTAAACACACTTAACTATACCTCATAACAATTAAGGCTGGTACGTAACTGTAGCAGCTGGAGCACCTAGATTAAAATGAAATGTAATTTAATTTTAATTTGGAACAAATAAAGAGTTAAAAAAATGTATTTCTTGAGCCTTTCTTATATGCCCTAAACTTCAATCAAGTTTCTTGGAATTCTTTAAATTCCGCTGAAGTCCATTGATTGTATTTAAAATGCATTTCTTTGGATTTCACTAAACTCCTCTGAACTTCACCCAAACATATTTGAAGTATTTCCTGAAATTTTCTCAACTACAATAAAGGTCCTTGTACTTCTCTAAATTTCTCTGAAGTCTACTGATCTCCTTTGAAATTCAGAACTTTATCTAAAAATTTCCTGGAGTGCACTTAACTTCTACGAAACGCTCTGAACATATCAGAAAAAATATAGAACTTCTCAGAGGTTTGACGAACTACTGATTAGTTCAGTGAGCTTCGAAGATTTGAAAAGTGCTTAAGAGAGGATCTGCAAACATCAGAACTGTTAAGTAGATTTCGAAGAGGTTCAGAAGAGCTTCTGAGGCAAGCTTCAAACGTTTTAATACACCTTAATTAGTGTTCATGGAACTGATGAGGTCGTGGAAGATCTGAGATATTTTAGAGATTTAGGGTTTCAACTCATCAAACATTTTAGCTGATTAATAACCGTATCAGGTATAAGCTTCTTTAAAGCTGAATAAGCTACTATACAGTTTTAGATGTTTGTTGGAAAATACTCAAATACGTTCTGGCAACTGTGAGTCGAGTTTTAGTTCAAGACATTGAAGAAGTATGCACATTGTAGACGAAAAAGGTGATTGAATTTCTGTTCGATTGCAATACCACAGACAAACAGATGTAACTCTTTGAAAAAGTTTTTCTTGAAAACATAGTATCTCAAAACATAGGACCTCAGTAACGACATCTCTCGGGCTTCTTGTGGAAAACAAGCTTGCTCGCTAACTCGCAAACAATATTGCATAAAAGTTCTATAGAATGTATAGAAACGTCAAAGTGATACGATGCCAGCGCCGTGGCGAGTAGTTCGCGGAACTGATAATATTCAAATCAACCGTTAAATGCGTAGACGAAGATACACAATGAAGTGTTACGTCTGTTTGTCTGTGGCAATACTCTTAAATTTAATCTAATAAGAATAAGAAATCCTCGGACAAAATCTAATGGGAATGTTCGATTGGCTCAGATTTTGGCAGTTCATTGGCTCAAAACAATCTCTCCGCCCATCTCTCGCTCTGAGTTTTTCTAGAAATAGAGCATTTTATGAGACGTTTCTGGTTCAACTCATGAATGAACTTTGACAGGAGGCGGTTACCTAACGGCTGTGAGAAGCAATATTTATCAATATCATCAAATTCTGGCAGGCAAACCAGCTCCTGTCATTAAACTTGAACTTGAAACTTGAAGAAACTGCTGCTGCTCATGTTAGCTGCTGGTTTCGTTTTTTTTTCACATGTCCAATTTGGCGGGAAACGGTGGTCCAGTACTGTCAAAAACTTTGCAATGAAGAGGTTTTTGACAGTTTTTCGACTTTTATTCTAAAAAATACACTTTTAAAATTACAAGCTGAAAGTGAAAGAAACACTTTTAAACCAAAAAAATATGTTTTATTTTGAAAATGTTCATAGTTAAAACTACGAAATTTGAGAAACTTTTAATTTGATCATGCATTATTTTTATAGCAACAATTTTTGTTCTTTGTGTGTAGTCTCGCTGATAAACTTGTTTTGGGACAAGGAATTGCTGCAGATGATAAGCGGAAGAACAATTGTTCCCGAATAAAAATTAGTCCAGAGCATGCCTACTACATCGTCAAACATATCAAGTCTTTTCCAGCTGCAGAAAGTCATTACGGTCGTGAGAAATCGTCTCGACTCTACTTGTCGTCTGATTTGACTATTCAGCGCATGTATGAGCTTTACCAAGACCAGTGTGGAGAAGACAATCTCATTCCAGTCCATTATAATACTTATCGGCTTGCCTTCAATTCCCTAAATCTCAAATTTAGGCTCTGAACCATTTGGTGGATTATTTTAACTTTTGGTTAAAATTTGACAGATGAAAAGTTATCGATTAACCCTGCTATCCGAGCATGGTTATTTCTGACAGACAAGAAGTTAAATTTTGACAACCGTGGCTCGAAAACCGGTCGATCGACAGCACGGGGATTTTCGAACATAGAAAATAACTTTCGAAATGTCACTTTTAACCACGAGTTAAATTTAACTCGGCAAATGGTTCACAGCCTTAGAAAGCCAAAAATTGATACATGCAACGCATGTGATACCTTCAAAATCGAGCTTCAGGTAGAGACAGATGAGGAAAAGCGACAGCAGATAATCGCACGGAAGGAGGCACATCAGCAAGCGGCTCAACGTATCTATGACGAGAAAAAAGCTGATCGAAAGCGGGCGGATCAGGATATGTCGGTGCGAACAATTTCTTTCGACCTTCAGAAGCAACTTGCTACACCTTATCTCACATGCGGTCAAGCATTTTATAGCCGACAACTTTATACATATAACCTTACGGTATATGAGACCCAGATAGGTGCAAATATTCCGGTATGTTACATTTGGGACGAAACGCGTGCAAAACGGGGATCGAGAGAAATCGGATCTTGCTTGTGGCATTATTTGAAAGGGCTACCGGCATGCGTGGAGGAAGTTAATATGTACAGTGATAGATGCGCTGGACAAAATAACAACCGTATAGTTCTTTTTCTTATGGCTTACGTTGTAGAATTGGCAGCATCTGAAGGGTGAAATCTGACCATATGCCATAAGTTTATGGCTACGGGCCATAGCCACATGGAATGTGATACGATTCACTCGGCAATAGAACGGGCCAAGAAAAGGACGCAGACTAACATCGAAACCCCTCATGACTGGAGTTTGTTTATTGCTTCCATTCGACGGTCTCCTCCAATTGTCGTGAAGGATATGGAGCAGAAGGATTTTTTCGATTTGTTGGCTCTGGATACCAGATACACGATTCCAAAGTTCATCACATCGAATGAACCATTCAGATTTAAAGATGCTAGAGTGTTCTGCTGTTCCTCTGATTCACCTGGCTTGGTGAAGTTCAAAAACGATGTTGTTGAAGAAAATTTTCGTTTTATCCAACTATTTTCATCGAAGACTGGAAGATTGGGAGACATTCAGCAAAAACCTATATTAACAACCCCTATCCAACTACCCACTGCCAAACAAGAAGATCTACGCCGTCTGCTGCCATTTGTCGCTCAGAAATGGTATTATGAAGCATTCCTTAAGACCTTGGCTCCTCCTGGACGTGCAAGAAAACCAAAAAAACACGGTGAGTGAAAACTTCGACGCCGATTTGGATCCGGCAGATAGTGATTGATTAATCCTATGCACATTCATTTAAGACAGTTGTGTAGTTATGGGTGGTAATTACGTGGCAAGTGTCACCTGTTTCATCGGTATTGAAAATAAAGTTAATCAAAGTACAACACTGTTCTTTTTTTCGTTTTTTAATCATAGATTTGAATGGAAAACACACTCGGAGGTTTACCATTTTACTTTTAACTTTAATACATAATGCTTCATTCTTCACATGAAAAACCTTATGAAAAACAGCAGTTCCACAGAATATCCGGTGTAAAATAGAACCACACTACCAGTAAATAAATACTTGGAAGTTTTTTTTTTCTGCTGGTCAAACTTCGAGCTTCTGTAGTTACATCCGAGACTCCACCTTCCAGCTTCTGTTGTCCCAGCTTTCTGATATTAAAGCTTTTCTGGTTCTCTTGCACCATTTATTTAATATCAACGTGCAAAAATAAAAAAGTCCTATGTAACAATCGCTGTGACAAAACGTCCAATGTAACTTGTCCAATATACAGCATGATTAGTAAAAAGTCCTAAGTGATTTTTTTTCTCGATAAAGCATAAATCCTGAACTAAAATTATAAAAAACAGCTATTATTGACTTTTTATAATTATTATTGATTAATCACGGTTAAAAGTTTGATCCAAATTGTTCCATTTTAAAACAATTTAAAAAACAATCCTTCGAACTTCAACTTCGGTTTTCTCAAATTGACGCAATTGTTAGATAGGTCCTTTTGAAAAGTTACGCGAGATTTCATAAAATGGACTATTACTAATCCTTCTCTCTCTTTCTTGCCGAGTTAAATTTAACTCGTGGTTAAAAGTGACACTTCGAAAATTATTTTCTATGTTCGAAAATCCCTGTGCTGTCGATTGACCGGTTCTCAAGAAGAACATAGATCTTTTTGACGTTTAATCGTCTTTCTCTATCTAGCACACATGAATGAATGGACGGTTTGTTTTCCCACTAAAATGTTTCCCTCTTACTCACACTCGTTCGATTGAAATGGTGCAGTAGTGTGCGTCGATTAAACGTCAAAAAGCTCTATAGCCAAGGTTGTCAAAATTTAACTTCTTGCCTGTCAGAAGTAACCACGCTCGGATAGCAGGGTTAAGGCCGGCGCACAATAGATACGTTTTCAGGTTTTTTGACAGTTAGCCCATGCATTATCTGTCAAAAAAACCCGAAAACGTATCTATTGTGCGCCGGCCTTTAATCAATAACTTTCCATCTGTCAAATTTTAACCAACAGTTAAAATAATCCACCAAGTTATCCTCACTTTCCTTAATAAAAATAACCATAAAAGAGAGCTTAACGACGTGTTTGGGGTCGTTTGGGGTATCATCCAAACCATTTGTGGGATAGTTTACCCATCCGGGATACAGTTCGTTAATGGTATTTGTTTATTAGGGTTCGCTCCAGCCAAAAATGTTGGTTTGTTCGAGGGTTTGTTATTGTTATCCTTACTTTCGGACCATCGATCAATAAGGTTTTGCCTCAAAATACTCAGAGGAAGAGATAGGCGGAGAAAAGAAAATACAATTCGGCAGCAGGGAATTGTTCCTAAATTATCTTGCAACCCTTGCTAGAAGCAAGTATTTCAAATGACTTGTATTTTTGATTCGATTTACGTACAAAATAATAATTGATTGCATCGCAATACTTTGCACATTTCTTGGTGCCATTCATTAACCAACGAAGATCAATTAATCAATAGAGTTAGAATATTGTTTTTGATTCCAAAAACTAGTTAAATTTGAGAAGCACACAGAACATAAAGGTGATTGAATTTCTGTTCGATTGCAATACTCTCAAATTTATTCTAGAAAGAATAAGAAATCCTCGGAAAAATTCTAATGGGAATGTTCGATTGGCTCAGATTTTGACAGTTCATTTGGCTCAAAACATTCTCTCCGCCCATCTCTCCCTCTGAGTATTTCTAGTTTAGCACCGATCGGATGACAGTTCAGTGGTACTGTTTACGTGGACTTAGTCGATTTTTTCTTCACGGAAACAAAACCCATCGTCAAAAATACTACATTGATGGTTTAAATTAAACGCCCCCACCAATAGATTTTTTGCAGAAAACAATTCCATTTAATTCAATTATTTTTTCTATTAAAATTACTATGAAGTTTGAGCAAGCATAGTAGTTTTGTCAGAATCATAGCACCGACAAACCGACGTGACAGCTCATAGAAGCTACTTTCAAAATCTTGCCCAATACGCCATATTTAAAATATGTTAAACACTATACCGCCATCTACTCATCCGATCGCGACATATCATGAGCAAGGACACTAACACACGTTAAATTTATATTGACTTGGTTTGCGTCTCACCTCGTTTGACAGATCTGATCGCCCGTTAAACAGATCAAATCGCTCATTTGACAAATCGAATTGCGGACAAACGAAATGCTCCAGTGTCATGTCGGTTCGTCGGTGATCATAGTACATTTGTCTACATTGGTTTTCAATCATATTGAAGTCAGATAGTAGATGTAACAGTATTAAGCGTATGTAAGTGTTAAGTGTTTTCTTCAAAATAGTATTCTTAACTATGGTCCTTGTTTCAGTGTTGGGTTGTTTAATTTCGAAAATCCAGACATTTGACAGATGGAAAATTTTCAAATAAACCGCCTATTCCAGCAGACTTATTTCTGACAGACAAGGAATCAATTTTGACAGACGCTTTCTCGAAAATTGGCCAATCAACCTCGCAATCAACAACAGAGGATTTTTCGAACATCTTAATTTATTTACGAAGTGTCAAATCTAAGTGAAAATTTTCCAAATGGAACACAGCCTTAGGCTGTGAACCATTTGCCGAGTTAAATTTAACTCGTGGTTAAAAGTGACATTTCGAAAGTTATTTTCTATGTTCGAAAATCCCCGTGCTGTCGATCGACCGGTTTTCGAGCCATGGTAGTCAAAATTTAACTTCTTGTCTGTCAGAAATAACCATGCTCGGATAGCAGGGTTAATCGATAACTTTCCATCTGTCAAATTTTAACCAAAAGTTAAAATAATCCACCAAATGGTTCAGAGCCTTAATAGTTTTTCGTCGATGGATTTAGTCGACCGGCTTTGTCTGCTGTTTGATCGGCAGATGATTTCAAACCTTAACATGTACTCTGTAATTTATAAGTCTTGAAGTAGCTTTATATTTTGCATTACAAAATATTATTATGCATTTTGTACAAGATTCATCTATTCTAACAAGAAATTTGCATGAAATTACATTGAAATTAAACAATTTTGTTAGTGAAAACAGGTTGCGAAAATTATTTATTTATTAGGGTACCTACGCTCTTTCTCGAACACGCAGAAAAATGGATTTTTGTTTCAGGGCCTAATGTATTTTGTTATTGATTCAAACGTATTGTATCACTATTTCAACGAAACATATTTTTGAATCAACAAAATGGTTTTTAGAATCAACAAACAGATTATTGACTCTACAACCGGTTTGTTGATTCAAAAATATTTTTCTTTGAATTAACCGAATATTATATTTGAATCAATACCAAAAATATATTAGGCCCTGAGCCAACAATATATCCATTTGAATTTAAAAATCATTTCTCTGTGTGAAACGTCAACTTTTCGCTTAGCTGCTGTTTTTTTCACAAGCAGCTGCATGCGTGAAAAAAGTAAACGTCAGCGAAAAATAGTCGATTTCACTGCATTCACATGGATCGCATATGTTTACAATTCCAAGTGAAGTTGAATTTTAGTCAATTAGATTTTTCACGTTGGTGAAAAATCGAAATTTCGAAATATTGCGCCTTTCACACCAAATTGGACTAATAAGCGCATTTTCACTTATTAAAAAGTGTTATAAAACTGCAAGTTTACGTCTAATCGTCTTGGTGTCTTCGATGCACTTATTCCTTATTATGCAAGCAATAAGTACTCCAAAAACATCAAAACGATTTGACGGAAACGTGCGCTTTTACACACTTTTTGCATTTTTGGGACAGTCCAGTTTCAGATGCAATCAGAAATATTTTAAAATTTATTTTTTAGCGTGCTTTTGTGCTAAAGCGTTGGGTGCTTAGACCCTTTTGAAAACATTAGAATATTCACATTAATAATCTGAGCGTCACTATGATGTTTGGAATTGTCGTCATCTTTCATTTTTTGTTTTGATTGGAAATTCGCGTCTTTTTAATCAATCGCCGTTGTTCCATTACTAAAAGTCGAAGTTTTTTTTTTTTATAGTTTTCCGCCTTAAAAATGTCCTTATCGCACATCAAATCGCTGGTGGAAAACTACTCCAAAGTTTGTCGCTTCTGCTTGCAGTCAAATTCACAAGATCTCGGCAATCTATACGAACAAATCACCGGAAAAGCCGACATCGTTACCATCAACACTACCGTCCGTAGCGTCCTGACGATACTCGGAATTCAGGTGTGCATTCCACATTTCCAGAACAACATTTTTCTCAGCTAAATTACGGTTTTCAATGTTCCAGATCACACAAAACGATGTCTACCCGAATCTCATCTGCGGTAGCTGCCGGGATTTGCTACACTCCATTCAGAACTTTCGCGAAAGGGTACAGAAATCGATGCAACTCTTGGATCAGGCTAGGCTTTTGAAGGAATTTCCCAATGCAAAGTTTGACGACGAACCATCTGAGGTGGTGAAGGAAAAAATCGAATTCGAGGAACCCACCGCCCTGGATGTGGCATACGAAGTGATGGTTGCTTCCAACGGCGAAGATGTTGGATCGGTCGCTGAGGACACCGAGGAAACCGTCACGCTAGATGGCGGAGACGAGGTGAAGCTGGAAGTGGACGTCGAGGGAATCGAACCGGAAGCGGCAAGCGAGTATGCCGAAACGGAATGGGTAGTTTATGATGAGTGTGAACAGAATGAACAACAGCAAGCGGACGAAACCGAAGAGGTTTATGTGGACGAAGAATACATCCAGGAGAGTTTGTCGGACGAGGATCGGGTATCGGCAACTTCCGAGGTGACTCAGATGCTACACGGAGAAGAAGACGAAGAAATGGAGGAGGAGGAGGAAGAAGCAGCAGAAGGAAAAGAGGAATTGCCTGAAACGATACAACCACCGCCTAACAAGAATTGCCCTATATGTGGCGTAACGTCCACGGCCATGGCGGTACATATGCGAACTCACACAAAAATCCGGCCATTTACATGTGGAACGTGCGAAAAGAAGTTCTACACCAACGCCAAGCTCCGGTCGCACATAGAATCGGTGCACATTGGAGAGCGGAAGTTTTCCTGCGAAATCTGCGGGAAAGCGTTCGTGCTGAGGAAGACTCTGAACGCTCACATGATGTCGCACGTGGCGGAAAAGGCCTTTGTGTGTTCGGTATGTTCCAAAGGGTTCCTGTTCCGGTGGGCACTGGTAAAGCACGAACGGGTTCACACGGGAGAGCGGCCCTACGTGTGCACCTTGGATGGGTGTGGGAAGAAGTTTGCTACGTCTTCCAACTTAAGTCAACATCAGAAGACGAATACCCACTGGAAGAATCCTCGGGAGGATATATGCCAGGAATGTGGTAAGTCGTTTCAGAATAAGTACGCCCTGAGAGCACATCTGAGGAGCCATCACGGTGCGAAGATCGTGGGAAATAGTGAGTAACAGCGTCTGTTTGGGTGTAATAAGAAGGTATCCTTTAGTCAGAGTAAATTGGCTGCATGATGTTCGATGACAATCCATGTGTTCATACTGCCATCTTTCAGCAAAATCAGTTTCGCACAATTCTTCAATTATTTCTAAAAATAGCTAAGTATCAGTACTAATGCCACACGCTGCACGACAGCGTACAAACCGAAGGAATCAACAGGCGCATCTCATCGATTCGATACTACAGCGTGCAATATGCAATATGTAAATACCTACCGATATAATTCGCACCCGCGATGCAGGTTCCCGCCCGTCGCGGCATATTCTAATAATAGAATTCTGTTTACAAACATGCATCTCGTACTACACGCCTACCCTTACACACATTCCTTCTTCATCAGCTCATTTTGAATGTGGGGAGAACAGCTGGTAATACCATTCTCCAGGATTGGTTTCCGCACATGCGTACACTAGTCCTAATCCCTTGTATCGAAACAATTCGCAAATTTTATGCGATAAAACACTTCTCGTTTGACGTTTTCCAAGTTGAGAAGCGTTCTTCACAGATCAGTGAGCTGAACTTCTATCCCAAACAAATCATGCTGTGAAAAAGTTAATTTATAATCCTTCCGTTGCATCAACCTGCGAAAATGTCCTTCCTCAAGTTTAAATTTTCCATCAAATCGATGAAGCTGCTAATCTGCCTCATCGGAGTGTCCTCGGTGCTGTTGTTGGTGTTCTGTCTCTATTCTACGCTCAACACTCCGGAAAAGGTCGTACAGCCGTTGATTCCGGGCCCCGACCAACACGTGATCAGTTACGAGCTGCTGCGAAGTCAGAATGCTGCCCTCGTACCGGAAAAGTACAACGAACATGAGGTGAAATCTCGCATCATCAGAGACAAGATCAAAAGACTGGCCGGTGGAAGAAACACCGAGCTCAGTACCCCCGCCCGACGGAACCGCACAATTGCTCTGAACCGGAACATCCAGATCTTCTACTATGCTCCGGTAGCATGGTATAAGCCACATCCAACCGTGCCAACCGATCGGGTGAGTTATCTATCGCTAAGAAGCGTTTGGCAACGTATAACCAGACTCGATTCTAGGTCGTCAGCCGCATCACCGAAAACGGTTCCGCCGTTTCGTTCCGTCCAAACGACGACCAGATCATCAATGTTGCATTCTATCCAAAACGCAAGCTGTACAACACAACCGAAACGATCATCAGGGAGCACTTCAACGACATCCAAAACTGTGGGATTGGAGTTGTGATCCTCGTATGGCATCCGACCTTCCATGAGGGTTTGCTACGGGCCATCTTCAAAACCGCTGCCATTCACAATCTCAAGGTCGCCATTGAGATTTTGGAATACCCGGAACGAACAATTGAAAGCATCCGGAACGTTATCAAGTATTTCATTGACCTGTTCGGAAAGGATCAAGCAAGCACGTTGAGCTACTTCCGAGTCCTCTCGAAGCAACGTGATCTCCCAATATTCTACATACGAAAATCGTATCAGATCGGTGACGCGGATTGGATGCGGCTGCTGTCCCGGAACGGGATCTTGACAATCCGTGGAACCAATTACGATGCCATCGTCTTGGCACATATCTCTACCAAAGAGCACAAATCGATCGTCCGGCGAGGGGGGTTCGACGGCTTCTACACGTATCTCCCGAGCAATGGAGCAAACTACGTGAGCACGTGGAAGAATTGGTCACAGTTGAAAAAGTTTGCCGACACCTACCACCTGATGTTTGTACCGACCATCGGTCCCGGGTATTACGATCGGAAAAAATACTCTCGCAGTGCCCAAAGCCACGGAATCTCCAATATCAAACGCTATCGCTCCAATGGGCAGTACTTTGACGTAGCATGGCGAACGGCACTGAAGAACAATGCTCAGATCATCACGATCAACAGCTACAATAACTGGGTCGATGGCACTCAGATAGAGGCCGCCATACCGGTGTTTGGGTTCAGGGACTACCTCCCAGGACCACCGGAGAAGTATCTGGACCTGACGCAGGCGTGGATTGAAGAGTACGTCAAATATAAGCTCAACAGTATCAAACTGGGCAAGAAAAGCGAGAACACCCTGGGGTGTTACGACTTTATCAACAATACCGTATGCTAAGTTTTAGAGTGATCACACGTGTTAGTAGACGCACAGATTAAACTTTTCTCTCACACCACGTAGAGTATAGACAAATAGATAGTTGAAGCTCTGTGTAGTCTGAAAAGCTTTAGTAAGCAATCTATCGAGAACTTTTCCTGTTATCAATATATCAGCAAATCTAGCGTTGTTTATTGGATCCAAGCGTAGTTCTAGGCATCATGGATGATGTTATAGTCAGTCTAGATAATCTAATAATTGGCATGATGATATCATAGGTAGAAAAGACAACCCAAGTATTGTTCTATACAGATTTTTCTACAATCTCACTCTTTGTCAGTGTTGCACTAGAGGCCAAAGGTTGTAGCTTATCAACGAGTGTTTGAAATAAACAATGTGAATAGTTTTACAATAATAAGTTGGTAGTTTTCATTGCTAATCTGTTCGTTGAAAGTTGCGGAGAACGGTTTTTACCCTGGACTCAAATGTCTTGAATCTTTTTAGCTACAGTGACACATTTTGACACAGAACTACAAATATGCTGAATTTTTCGTGTGAGTAATATCAAATTATTATAAGCGCTTACCGGAAAATGGCCAACTTTAGCACATTCATATTTCGAAATTTCCAAAGTGTTGTAGTTTTAAAATTTTTAATGATATTGCCAATAAACGACGGCGTGTTTAAGAAAGTTATTTATGATATGGTCAAAAATATCCGAAATAATAGACTTCGGAAATTTCGAATTAAAATGTGCCATTTTATTGGCCTTTTTCAAGCAGCCCGTCAATTTCCGGCAAGCGCTTTCAATAATTTGATATAACGTATTGGCAAATCAAAGTTGGTACTCGTGGGGAATAGAAGAACTATGAAAGAGATGATGGTATCAAAATTTTATACGGTGAGGTTTACGAGAGCAATCTTAAAATGCTTTTATTTTGCAAATGGAGCATTTTATTTAACCACCTATGTTTTCACGTCAATCGGACGTGAATATTTTTCAGAGTGTACACTTTTCACGGGCTTCTCGGCGCTGCTACTTAAGACCAAGCTTGCAATTGCTCATTACAGCTAAAATGCTATTTTTCGGATTTATGAAGCTATGAGATATTTTAATGATAAGGGTTGATGCATATATTACCCTGGGCTTTGGCAAAACCTTGAGGTAGTTTAATTAGGCTACCAGGTCCCAGGGCTGATCTGGATCTTTACCACATTGGAAAGATGCACACTAGTGTTGCCAGATCAGTGTTGATGCTTACCAAAAGTGCATTTGAACCCGCTTATAAAAGCATATTAACAGATTAATCATCACCGTACATTGTTTATTGCTCTGTTTTAATAATAAATGATTAAGCACAGCATTTGATATTTTAGTAGGAATGCTGGATTTAGTCGCAGTGGAAATCAATCCTTTATTGAATTGGATTTATTTCTATGGATATGCACGTTTGGAAAGCATCATCACAAAGATTCTGCACTCGGTCTACAGCTTGTGGGCGGGAAGCGTTGTGTTTGTTTTTGTTTTTTTTTAATCTATTTATAGAGTCAATTCTTAGAAATACGAAGCGAAAGACAAATCAAGCATTAAGCACAAGACCTTCAAGAAAACTAACAACACGAAGTCTGAAAATGGCAACGTTTTATTCAAAATGTCAAGTATTTCAAGAATATCGGGTGAGACCAATCGGACCGGGCGCTCTTTCGGTCATCTGGAAGGGTTGTGCACGAGGAGCGATTTTAATCCCCCCAGTTTTGAAGACATTCCGGAGCGAGGATCCATTATCTTGTGTCAGAGAGATGATGGAAGTGGCATATCCAGAAACACAATACAACAAGAGAAGGAAGTAGGATTGAAGGTAAACAAGGAGTTCATAGGAACGTTGAAACTGTAAGTATACTCCGATCTATTCTAGTACTCTTGTATAAAACCTATTGTAAACCGGCTAGATCGTAGTCGTCGCCACCGGGACGCATAGTCATGTGAAGATTGCCAGATCCGTGACCACTCATGATAAAGCACACAACATTAAATACATTGCACGGGTTGAGTCGCACAGAGGGTTGATAAGATGTAAATTGCTTAGAAACACCCGCATGAACGATAACCATAAGGAGTGCCTAACAACCTATTCGGGTTATCATCCCAACAATATGTGATACGGTGGCACGATTTGTGGTATCGTTCAGGTATGGTGTTCCCCCACTTTTTATTAAGGTCGTTGACGCTCATTGCACGCTCTTTCGTACTCCGGCTGATTGAATGGATGACGGAGTTTGACGTCACACTCCTTCAGACGTTTAGGCGGCGGGAGGGCGAGAGAGATGGCTGTTCAGTACATGGAGATAATTTTACAAATGTATTTCTATTAGGTAACAGTTTAAAACTCACTAATAATCTCTTTCAATATCTTTTAATTTATTTTTATTGACGGTGTGATGTAATCTAGTTCATTTTTCAACGATACGATAATAACTTATTCGCTTTTCATACAAAACCTACCCAATCCTTTCCTTTCTACAATCCCTGAGCAGCTGGTTTACCATAAGTATACCTCGCAGAACTTTTTTAACCCCCATGGGTAAAGATGTTGTGTTGCTCACTCCTCTCCCCTTCCCTGGTGTATTATGGATGGTGTGAATATTCACATCGGTGACATGGCCCCTGACCCCCTTGTACATCATAAAATGAAAATGAAAAATGAAAATGAAAATGAAAATGATAAGGGTTGATGCATATATTATGTCACGCTCTAAGGGGGGAGGGAGGGTCTAAGATTTTGTGACAAGCAATGCATAAGGTATAGGAAAAACGTCACCATAGAGGGGGAGGAGGTGATTTTTTGCTCGATTTAGCGTGACATAATTAATGCATGGGCCCTAATTCTTATTTACAAGGTGCAATGTATGACACATAAAACTGTCAATTTAGCTTTCAGAGGGTTACAATAGCGATTAGCTGTAACGCTGAGCAACGCGATGAGTGAGCAATCAGCGATAATAAATAAACACACTTTACCACATCTTCTCGCCTCTTAAATAAACATTATCATTATAGTATCCCATAGCTTCATAATTACGAAAACTAGCATTTTAGCTATAATGAGCAATTGCAAGCCTGCTTAAGACCAACGGCATCTCCATAGAAATCTGGTGACTTAAGTAACATAGAAAAATATTTTTATTGGAAGGTGTTTACGGTGAAGGTGATATATTCTACCCAAAATTAAAGGCCGGTGCACAATAGATACCTTTTTCAGGTTTTTTGACAGTTAGCCCATGCATTATCTGTCAAAAAACCCGAAAACGTATGCATTGTGCGCCGGCCTTAAGTTTAATTCACGTAAATTTGAGAATTTACAATTTACACAAAAGTAAAGTATATCATCAGTTTTGTAATTGCAAATCTGAAAACTAGGTTTCAGATTTACCTTTGCTTAAATTCATCAATTCAGTGCCAACATTTCAAAGGGGCGTAATTGCTTTTGTAAACAATGGCTTTAGCTATCGATTTCTCGCAAATAAAAGTCCATCCCTCCAAATTAACAATGCTAGCTGGTAAAGGAAACATTCCTCTACCTGCTGGTGTCATTAATCTTCATGAGTAAGTTTTAATTCACGAGAAATCGACGGCTAAAGTCATTGTTTACAAATGCAATTACGCCCCTTTGAAATGTTGACACTGAATTGATGAATTTACGCGAAATTGCACCAGTGCATGCGACCCCTAGGTTTGGATTCCAAAACCATAAAAGTGATGATGTACTAAAAAATATTCTATACGATTTGACAGATAGCAAATCGCAAAACGTCATTATCATTTTCACATCATTTCCATCTGCCGGTCGACCGTAACGTAGATTCATCAATTGGCTTAACTATACGCCTTTTTAAAGCACCATCAACATAGAGTGCGCCACGCGAGTTCGAGAAGAAACGTCAACCAAACCGTTTGTAAACATCAGAATAAGTATTTTCCCCAACGCAAATAACAGCATTTTTCATTCAAAATCTTGCCAATTGATGAATCTACGCTACGGTCGGCCAGCAGATGGAAATGATGTGAAAATGATAATGACGTTTTGCTAGCTGTCAAATCGTATGGAATATTTTTTAGTACATCATCACTTTTGTGGTTTTGGATTTCAAACCTAGGTGTCGCATGCACTGGTGCAGTTTCGCGTAGATTCATCAATTTCCATCGGTAATTAATCATGTTTTGTTGTTTTTGACATCATCCACATCCAGAGGGCCAGTCACTTCGAATGTATGGGAATGGTAGGAAACCATTTGGAAATGCATGAAAATTTTCACTTTTTATTCATTATCGTCTTTATGGGCAGTTTCAGGTGCACAAAAATTGCACGAGTACATTACTATGGTTATAAGGTAAACACTCGTTTATTTGTTTCCTTCTGTGAAAGCATGTTTAGTCCGAGGTTTAGTCACAAATCGTGGATTTTCTGATATTCTCCATACTGCAAAAATGATTTTCCTACCAATGAAGGGGCGACATCTCTCGGTTCTTCAGTATAGCTACTACTCAAATCATATATTTAATTGTCTTATTGTACGATTTTCCACAAATCTGAACTGATTTGCACCTTAACTCAAGAGCAAATTTTCATTATGTCGTAAGTAACATTCGCACCGATCCGAGAAAAATAAAGTTTTGTTTGGATGACCGAAAATTTATTCCTATTTCCAATTAAACACATATAATCCCATAGTGATAGCAATGTTTAACATATTCAGCCGGGTTTTAATCATACAAAGGCAAATCGCTAGCTTTCATGCTAAGAAATACTGGTTTTTAAGACAAAAGATATTATACGTCGTTTGGTGGCCCCTATTGTTACTTAAGTCAAAGTGTATTTACCAGGATATTCGGGAGAATTATCAATTACGTCTCCTTACGTGCAGCCCATTCATCATTTTAGGACCACCGAGATCATCTTAGCAACAAACCGTTCGATTTATTCACTTTAATAATGAGAAAGCGAAACGACGAAAGTACACTTTTCACGGGTTTCTCAGTGCTGCTACTTAAGGCAAACGGCATCTCCATAGAAATCGGGTGACTTAAGTAACATCGAAAACTATTTTGATCGGAAGGTGATTACGTCAAAAAGCAATTCGACTGGTAAATAAATTTAAAAATGGGATGTGATCCTATATTCGGACAGTATATAGTGTAATAGCAGGAGCATCGATTGACACTGATAGCTCGACTTTGTTTACCTTTGTTACATTCGACGTAATGAAAATTTGCTCTTGAACTATTCACACACAAGAAATCCGGAAGATCATAACCACTAAGGCACTTTTCTAATTTTCCATTTTTCAAAAATATTCTTGAATACCTGCAGGATCTTTTCAAAAACGTTACAGAATTAAATTTTTCAACTGTAGATTAAGTTTTGCAGCATCTCAGATGAATCAATTTATCAGGAAAAGTAAAAAAGTGTTCCGCTTCCTATGTCTCAAGGCAAAAATTTATGCCCACAACACTCTTTTTGACGTTCTCCTATTCACCACCAGAGGTTGAATGGATCGTTTAGTTTTATAGGACGCCAATATTCAATAAATGTTCATTTTGGCCGTTTTTGTCGACGGATTCATGCCGATGTTGTCCATTTGTCAACTTGTCTCTCCCAACATAGCGTACCCATTTTTGGGTAGGTTCAGTTTTGACCGATCTGGGTGAATTATACCCAAATTTGGGTAGTTTTGAAATAGCGTGTATAAAGTTCAAAACAAACGAAGAAACTGTCAAACGCGAATATAACGCAAAAGCAAAACATCCAAAAACATACGACGCACGTGAAAATCCGTGAAACCCGCCGTGAGTAGCATCGTTTTGTCGTTGATTTTGCATTACTTTTGTGTTGTAGTTGAAAAAAAAACAATTTCCTCACCAGAAAACCATGCCGATTGATCAGAAACGAATCAACGGACCGGAGGGATCCCTTCCCTATCAAATATTCGGCAAGAACCGGGATAAAACCTTTGAAGATCGGCTAGCGGATGTGTTCGATCCCAGTGGTAAACGGAAGTGTGGCCGAAAGGATACCGAAAGCCGGAAGTATTGTAAGTTACCGTTCATTTAAATTTACCTTCAGCTCAACATTATTTGTTCACGATTTAATTTCAGTTATGAAACTCGGTGTCGTCTCAACGGCCAAAGGCTCCGCCTATCTGGAACTGGGCAACACCAAGGTGATAGTGTCGGTGTTCGATCCTCGCGAGATCCCCAAGCAGAACAAATTCCGAGAACTGGGCGAGTTGTACTGTGATTTTAAGTTTTCCCCGTTCGCTTGTACCCATCGGAAGAATCCACAGACGGATGCCGAGGAACGGTCTCTGGCGGCGGCCATGACTAAAGCTCTGCAGCCGGTCGTTTGTCGGCATTTGTTTCCCAATTTTCAGATTGATATCTTCGCCAATGTCCTGGAAGATGATGGCTCGGTACTGGCGGCCGCGATCACGGCAGCCGGGTTGGCTTTGAGCGATGCGACTATTTCGATGTTTGATATCGTTACGGCAACCACGGTTGCGGTTTTCGAAGATCACATTTATCTGGATCCGACACTGGCGGAGGAACGGATCTGCCTGGAAGGTGGAAAGAGGGGTAACCATGGAGTCATTACTCTGGCAAAGCTGCACACATTGGATCAGACTTCGGAGATCCGTCAAGCAGGGGACATTTCGTTGGATAAACTGAAGGAGGCCTGTCAACGGCTGAACGAAGTGAACAACGAAATTGCTCCGGTAGTCCAGCAGATGCTCGTTAGTAAGGTGCAGAAACATATGGCTGAAATCGATCTGGAGGAAGAGGATGAACCAGAGGAAGACAAGGAGGATTTAGACGCAACTAGTGCGAGTCAGGTTTCGGTTGCTGCAGATGCTTGAATAGAGTATTTTTTTTATCAATTTCATCAGAATGTTTTATTTGCGTGAATGAGAAAATCTTAGATGAAATCAGCAGGTTAGTCCTCCGGCTTCTCCGGTGGTGGTCCACAAGGCTGCAGCATTTTTTCCATGATGTTAAACCGAATGCGAGCCTTGGATTCGTTTTCCGCCACGGCAAAGTAGCTCAGCATATCGTAATGGCCAAGGTAGCTGGCCTGCGAATCCCGATGCTGGTTGGTGAGCCATTCGTATTTGTTCGTATCAGCGTGGCCCGTACCTATGTACTTGCTCTGCAGATGTTCCAGCTGACTGTGAATATTGTAGCGATCGCCCATGGTGGTTGTTTTGCTAGGATTTAGGTGGTTCCGCGGTGGAAAACTAAAGCAACTTCTGCAAGTTTGATGACTCGCACCAGCAGCGGTGAGAAATAGATAAACACAATTTTGACGTTTCTCACTGATGCTCTGTTACGCTGAAATCGGTAAAGAAGTTTTTGATGCCCGCGCGGTTTTGTACGAGGGGTGATTGAAGAAATTATTTTGAGGGACCCCGCATACATTAGAGTCGGTGTATAATGAGTCACGCCAAGAGAAAAACAGTTGAACTCGCATCACGGTTTTCGAAGGATTCCCTTTCTTTTCACTTGGCAACAGAGGACTTCTACGTCAACTTCAAATGACTTCTAGCGAGAGAAAAAATATTGCGACGGTAGTAAATCATTATATCAGTGATTTTGTCAAATTATCTTAACAAAAAATAGTAGAAATTCTCATTACTAATCATTACCGAGCGTATCCCATGACAATTTAACGCTCACTGCGTGTTTATGCTCATTTCTTCGATTATATTTTATATTTTATTGCAATACCTTTCGTGGACCTTTCATAGCATCGTAATGTTTATTTACTTTGCACGATAGGTAGCCAGTTTGACAGTTCAATAGGTAGACTTGGCTTCACTCTTGGCGTGACTCATTATACACCGACTCTAGCATACATATCAGTTGATTTGTCAGTTTGAGGAGAAAGGGGACAGCACCGACAAACCGACATGAAACTAAAACTTAACTCTTGATCGAGAATCCATATAGGCGGATTCAAATGTGCAGCGATCCCATATGTCAAAACCATAGAAATTTTGGAGGTGAACCAGCCCAAGGCTGAAAGCACAGGAGTGGAACTTCGGATCAGAAAGTGGCTCCACTTGTCATTTGCGAACACTAGCGCACCTAGCGGTAGAAGGCATCTTCTACCTGCAGTTAAGATAGGCAGCATGCTATGATAGTATGAGTGCACATAGAAAGCCCGTGTGGAACGCTACCACAACACATCGCTTGTTGAGCAGAAAAACGAACCACTTTTTGATTCACCGATTTGTTTGCACTTCTCCTTCTGTTCTGTGCTGAAAGCCTCCTTAATAAAGTTAAATAATAATAACCATAGAAATTTTTTATCTAGATAAAAATAATTTGCCCGGAATAGATTAGACACGAACCAACTCATACATTTAGTATGTGTGTTCGTGGCTAGGATACACATTTTTCGCGAACACGGCGGCAGATGTCAGTTTTGTGCTTTGATCAGACATTTTATGATACTTTGTATGATCATTCATGTCGGTTTGTCGGTGGGGACAGTTTCAGAACAGAAAACTCTAATCAACAAATATAATATGAACGATAACCCAAATGGTAGAACTATTCCACAAAAGGTTTGGATGATACCCGAACACGTCGTAAAGCAAAATAACCACACAAATTTTATTAAGGAAGGAATTTTCTAGTAAGTCTGTGATAATAGAGTCTAATTAAACGTTACTTCACATGAGAATCAAGCGTATTTAGCATCGTTGTTTAAAGCGCTGGTCAGACTGAGCAGTTATAACATGTTATAACGGTTGTCAAATAATTGCAACATAGAAACCACCATCAAGATAGTGCTGTAACATGTTATAACCATAGAGGTAACTCTAAGACCAGAAGGTCGTGAAGAAACATGCTCAACTTTTGGCTCAGCTCTGGTACTCTCTTCGGTCCCAAGCTAATCGGTGCACCCCTTGAAACATAGGAAAATCTACGAGCCCCTCATTATATCTGTCAAACTTTCATAGCGAATCAAAACAAATATATTGCGTAGAAGTAGAATTTCGACTGGAATGGGATACGTTAATAGATTTGTTGGGGACCACTAGGCTAGTCAAGTAGTGAGCCAATTTACTATCGTAAGTTTCCACCGGTTGTTATAACTCTGTAGTCTGAACGTACTATAAGGAAACAATGATTGCAATGCCCAAGATCACGCATGATTTTTGTAGACACAAATCAACTAGCAAGCAACTGTGGATTACAAGCGGTGGTATCGTAGCTACGAATATCAAGCTAACTTAACTCACCAGTTACACCTGCTAAACCGTGGTGAGTTTGAGTTTCATGATTTTCTGAAAATACCGTCACTGATGGCACTTGGCAGCAGTAGCTTCGTGTCCCAGTTCGTGTCTGCCATCGGTGAAGAGTAAAGAGAGATAGCAAACTATACTTCCTCTTGCTAAGAAAACTATGTGAACCGGAATAACTTTTGTATAGAGTCAACGCTCAGCTTCATTTTACATGTTGATAATCTCGCAATATCAAAGGAGCTTGTGAAATCAATATTTATCAAGCATGATATTTTGTTCCAAAAAAAAATTGATCACATAATCAACACTTTGCTGAATCATCAAAAAATTTGATCGAATATGTTCTGTTACACGGTAAAAAGTTATCACATCTAATCCAAATGCTCTTGCACTTGACTCAGTCCGTTATGTGGCACTACGAATCTAAGTGATTTATCATTGATTTTCAAGTTATTTACCTTTTGAAATAAAGTGATTTGTCGTTGAAATACATGTACTGTATAAAACCTTCAAATCAAAATGATTATCATTTGAATTGGCACCACTGTTTTCATGCATTGAATTTGATTGATGAATCTACGCGAAACTGCACCAGTGCATGCGACACCTAGGTGATGATGTACTAAAAAATATTCCATACGATTTGACAGGTAGCGAAACGTCATTTTCATTTTCTCATCATTTCCATCTGCTGGTCGACCGTAACGTAGATTCAATTTGACCACTTTGTCAAGCAGTTTTGGCGTGACTTTCTACCAGCGACTTCACAAAACTAGACCAACTTATTTCAATTTTTTTTATGAAACGTACACATGTTGGCTACTTTTCTCGAGGTTCTAGAAGCAAAAAATCTGAAAATAATGTTTTATTTCAAGGTTCGAGTGGTAGTAAACGTCATTTTAGCTGCTCGAATGAAGTGGTTAATTAGGCCGTTCGCAATGCTGAGTTTCAAAATTGTTTTAAACTACTCGTCAATTCTATAATTTGAAACTGTCAAAAATAAAACTGCAACACGATCAGCGCAACGCACAGTTCTAAAACATGTTTGTAATCATCAAGTTCCATAAACTTTACTGTTCTCTATGAAGTTCTCCGTTTTTTATTTGTGGAGCTCTTCGAAACATCTTCAACACATCCAAAGAAATTTGAAACAGAGTTCCATTCGTGTTTCAAACTCGCTCAGAAATAAAACAGAATAGTCGAGCAGTTGCAAATCTGGTGCAAAATAGTGCTCGAATTATGAAACTGCAACTCAGCATTGCGAGAGGTGCGTTTCTGTTCTAGTTTCAAATTGAAACAGTCCTTATAAAATACAACAGCATTGCGAACGGCCTTAGTTTTGCTTTTGGAAGCAACTGTCAAAACCGCACATGAGTCACATGACAACCATTACTCTCGAAGATGGCAAGTCAACAACAAATGAGGTCAAGCGAGAGAAGCGATAGTTCTCCATCTTCAACCGAAATAATTTGCGTTCAAGAGCGTGAGTAATACGAAATTGCTGCTGTATTCAATAATAGTGTTTTATTCAGATAAGTTCGATTACAAAACATTGTCAAACTTATCAAATTTATTGCTCAATGTCTCATCTTACTTCTACTAAAAGCCTTGCGATGTTGTTCAATTTCACTTGGAAACATGTGATCTGGGTAGTAATATGATATTGTCATATTCTGAATAACATATAGTAAGGCTTTCAGTATGAACAAATAGTACATTTATTTAAACCCATTTTCAGCCAAAATTAAATCCAAACATAAATTATTTAAACTTCAAGTGAAAGCACATCAACAACAAATACAATTTAAAATGAAGTGATTTGCTGTTGATTTCATCGTGCTTCGATATGATCTCATCCAAGGGTTTTGCACAGCGAATTCCAATGTTTGGCAAGTAGTGCAAATTCAACAGCAAATTACTTTACATGAACGTGATGTTTTTTACCGTGTACATCTCATGTAAGTCGATTATAAGCTTCTCGACCAACACCAATTAGTTCAATGATGTGGTTGAATAAATTCTCCAGATTTGTGTGAACAAAGCCTGAACAGAATTTAAATAGTAATATTATTATTAAGCATGCAGTTGAATAAAATCATCAAGTAGTTGTTTTTTTTTCGATAGAAGATTGTTTGTTGGGAGACAGGATTGAAGAAATTAAAAACATATTTTTTTCGGAAAAACCTTCGCTATGCGAACAAATAATCTTTAATTTTTTCCTCAATTTACTTAACACAATAAGTGGCATCAGTAGTCTTACTCTGGATCCATCCCAAATAGGATGTAATTCTGGTATTCACCGAAGGTGTAGATCCGGCACACGCTCCCCCATAGCTGACAATTCCGATCGAATACATCCGCTGGACTCCCCGTAGATACAGCGGACCGCCTGAATCGAACTGACAGGTATCCTTGCCGGGCGTAAAAGCACAAAGCTTCTGATCGTTGACATACTGAACCTGGCACTGGCTATTGGCTATCACATCCAACGTGACACGTCTCAAGGTTGAACTGGTTGGACCTCCGAAACTCATAGTACCCCATCCGGCCACGTCCACCTGCAGTTTACTGAAATCGTAGTACCAGTAATTGAACGGCAGACATACCGGTCCCACTCCACGGGTCCATTGCATGTTCGTGGTGGTCGTCAAGATGGCGATATCATTGTCACGGGTGTCCTGGTTGTAGTTCTCATGCCATACTATGCTTGCAATGTCGTAGAGTTGCGAGTATGGCGTATCGAGGCCCGTTCGGTAGTTTTGATCCCCGACGAGAGCTTGAATACGCTGTGGGTTCGGCGTATTCTGGACGCAGTGAGCGGCCGTTACAATATATCTGTAATTTACTATAGGTTTCCATAAATAAACGAATCCATCTGGCATTCTTGAATCACTTACCAATAACTCCGGAACAGAACACATTCGCCGTCACTTTGTCCAGTAACCCGACAATCGAAGTGTACTCGTTAACACCGGCTTCGGTTCCACCGACAATCTTTTGCGATCGAGACCATCCACAGTCGCAGTCCTGCTTTTGAACCTGGATTTGGCAACTGAAGGACCCTCCACTGGTTGAACTGGACGAAGTGTAGGCGACCATCATCTTGTTGAACAGAGAGTTTCGATTCACTGTGCCTGAACCGCACATGAATTCACTTCCCGTCACCGAGGAGAAACCTTCGGTTGAGATGTAGAATAGCTCGGTTGAACAAGCCGAACCTTGCGGTGTATCGATATTGATGTTACAGCTCATTTGCATGCTATATCCGGGAGGGGCAATGAGCATGTAGCGGCAGGAGCTTCCTGATGGATACTTTCCATTGGAATAGAAAGGCGACACCAGCTGTACATTGGCAGTTTCCGCCAATTGGTACTGCTGATCACATCCTTCGAACCAAGCTTCTATCAAAGCTGGCAATAATATGAAAAATAGTATCGATCGTTGCGCGATCATGATCACTACTGAAGAGTAATGGTCGATTTGTCATCATCGTATTCAGAATTCAGCCAGACTCGCCTTGAACACGCATCTGGGTAAATATTTCTCATCTGAACCAGTAAAACACATACATCTTGTACAATGCACTCATCTTTATTGATAACAATAATTCCATTCAGCAGTGTTTTGCATTATCCAATTGAGGTATTCTGTGACCCTGGTGCTCACGCTAGGGTCATTGGTAGCGCAGGCCATCCCATAGCTGACGATACCGATGTGATAAACGAGCCCATTGTAGTAGTCCGTGTAGAACAGTGGGCCACCAGAGTCGCTCTGACACGTGTCTTTTCCCGCAGCCAATGTACAAATTTGCGTCAAGGCGAAATTAGTGTAGGTTTGGTAACATTTGCTTGGATCGATCACCGGTAGTTCAACTTTGAGCAGTGCGTTCGATTTGGGATCACCAAAATCCGTTGAACCCCAACCGGCAGCTTCCAGTGCGATCCCCACGAAGGAAGCTCCGTAGTATTTGAACGGCAGGCAAACCGGGCTGACGCCGCTGGAAAAGATGATCTGCTTCTGGGTTCGGACGATCGCTATATCGTTCAGGTTAGTGGTTTTGCTGTACGATTCGTGCACCTTGATCGATGCCAGCAGATAGAGGGCAGCGTAGGTTGTATCCGATCCGGTGGTGATGTTGTGGTCGCCAACAAGCAATGCCAGATTGGCGATGCTGTGCCCGATGGGGCAGTGGGCGGCGGTTAGTGCGTGGTAATTTGTGACTGTAAATATGGAAGAGAGAATGTTTTCACGCAATTTCTTACTCGTAGTACCTATCTAACAAAGTCTTAGAAGCTGTGTAAATTCAGTAAGGTTGATTGAAGTCTTATTGTCTTCAATTTAGCTGAAATATGCAGCTCAAGTAACATTTTGGATTTAAATTTAAATCGGGATCACTCTAGTCAACTTTTGCAAGTAAAGAATGGACGAGAAGGGGCGACTCCCAAGTAACAATTTCCAGTTGAAGAAACGCTTTCGTTTTGATTTTGTTCAGCTGCATGTTGAATAATAATTGCACAATGTGTTCACCACAACTTTTATAAAACCCTTGTTTACACTCGTTTGGAGAACCTATACAACTGCAACACAAAGGTGTTGTCTAACGTATTCAGTAAAACGTTTGCCCAAAATCAATTTCTTGTTGAAGAAACGCTTCCATTGTGATTTTATTCAACTGCATGCTGAATAATAACTGTACAATTTGTTTATTACAACTGCTGTAAAACTCTTGTTTACACTGGTTTGGAGAACCTGTTCAACTACAGCATTATATGTATACGCGGTATAGGAGTAGAAGCAACTTTTATACAACGTTTATAGATACATATTTAAACTCAAGCTTTATTATTTTGGTGAAAGCTCTTATACAACGTTTGTAGACACTTCTTGACAGCTGCTTTGAAATTTAGTAGAGAGTGAACCTGAGAGGCGTTTGTTGCACTCTTTTATGACTCCTAAATAATCATTGTACAGCAAGCGGTGAAAAGCGTTTATAGCACTTTTCAATGACTCCTTAACAACTGGATAGAAGCAACTTTTATACAACGTTTATAGATACATATTTAAACTCAAGCTTTATTATTTTGGTGAAAGCTCTTATACAACGTTTGTAGACACTTCTTGACAGCTGCTTTGAAATTTAGTAGAGAGTGAACCTGAGAGGCGTTTGTTGCACTCTTTTATGACTCCTAAATAATCATTGTACAGCAAGCGGTGAAAAGCGTTTATAGCACTTTTCAATGACTCCTTAACAACCGGATAGAAGCAACTTTTATAATACGTTTATAGATACATATTTAAACTCAAGCTTTATTATTTTGGTGAAAGCTCTTATACAACGTTTGTAGACACTTCTTGACAGCTGCTTTGAAATTTAGTAGAGAGTGAACCTGAGAGGCGTTTGTTGCACTCTTTTATGACTCCTAAATAATCATTGTACAGCAAGCGGTGAAAAGCGTTTATAGCACTTTTTAATGACTCCTTAATAACCGTTGTGTAAGTACTCACAATATTCACAGATTAAAATTAATTTAACAATTGTCGTGGTACGCCAAAATAATTGCTTGTACAGTTTTTATTAATTTAAATTATTTGTGCACATTGAAAAAATATGTAATTATGCCATAATTCACATTCTGTGATCATGGAGGAAGTAGTAACAAGCATCTGTTTGATCTTTGGATTGATATTCTTTCAATTAATCTCTCTAATCATTAATTGAGAGAATTTATCTAGAAATGTTATCGTTGATTATATGATATATGTCTTAAATTAATGTTTGCATTTATTAATAACACCTATATATAATTTACCTCTACTCCACCGAGGGTTTCTCGAAGCAAGATTTGAACTCATGATCCCGGATTGCCAGCCGCTTCTGTTTCCATCTGCTTTATTCTTGAATACATATTTTGATCATATGATAGAAGTATATGAAGCTCATCTTGAGTGACTTCTCTTGCAGTCGAATAATCATTGCCTTATGGTCATATAAACGTGCCTATCACTTGTGCTATTTTTAGCAACAAAATTGTGGTTGGTGGTTGGTCGAACGTAAACAATCATTTAAGAGTGCTCCAAGCAGCTTTTGAAGCTTCTAACCAAAAAGGCAATACAACTACATTCTTGTTCAACTCTGGAAGCTATTATTCAACGTTTGATCAACTCAGGTGTTTTATAAGAGCTCCCAATGGTTTGTTTTGATGCGTTTATTCCACATCCTGTATGGCTCCTGTCAAACAGTTTAACCGAACGTAAACAATCATTTAAGAGTGCTCCAAGCAGCTTTTGAAGCGTTTAACCAAAAAGGCAATACAACTACATTCTTGTTCAACTCTGGAAGCTATTATTCAACGTTTGATCAACTCAGGTGTTTTATAAGAGCTCCCAATGGTTTGTTTTGATGCGTTTATTCCACATCCTGTATGGCTCCTGTCAAACAGTTTAACCGAACGTAAACAATCATTTAAGAGTGCTCCAAGCAGCTTTTGAAGCGTTTAACCAAAAAGGCAATACAACTACATTCTTGTACAACTCTGGAAGCTATTATTCAACGTTTGATCAACTCAGGTGTTTTATAAGAGCTCCCAATGGTTTCTTTTGATGCGTTTATTCCACATCCTGTATGGCTCCTGTCAAACAGTTTAACCGAACGTAAACAATCATTTAAGAGTGCTCCAAGCAGCTTTTGAAGCTTCTAACCAAAAAGGCAATACAACTACATTCTTGTTCAACTCTGGAAGCTATTATTCAACGTTTGATCAACTCAGGTGTTTTATAAGAGCTCCCAATGGTTTGTTTTGATGCGTTTATTCCACATCCTGTATGGCTCCTGTCAAACAGTTTAACCGAACGTAAACAATCATTTAAGAGTGCTCCAAGCAGCTTTTGAAGCTTCTAACCAAAAAGGCAATACAACTACATTCTTGTTCAACTCTGGAAGCTATTATTCAACGTTTGATCAACTCAGGTGTTTTATAAGAGCTCCCAATGGTTTGTTTTGATGCGTTTATTCCACATCCTGTATGGCTCCTGTCAAACAGTTTAACCGAACGTAAACAATCATTTAAGAGTGCTCCAAGCAGCTTTTGAAGCGTTTAACCAAAAAGGCAATACAACTACATTCTTGTACAACTCTGGAAGCTATTATTCAACGTTTGATCAACTCAGGTGTTTTATAAGAGCTCCCAATGGTTTGTTTTGATGCGTTTATTGCACATCCTGTATGGCTCCTGTCAAACAGTTTAACCGAACGTAAACAATCATTTAAGAGTGCTCCAAGCAGCTTTTGAAGCTTCTAACCAAAAAGGCAATACAACTACATTCTTGTTCAACTCTGGAAGCTATTATTCAACGTTTGATCAACTCAGGTGTTTTATAAGAGCTCCCAATGGTTTGTTTTGATGCGTTTATTCCACGTTCTGTATAGCTCTTGTGAATCAGTTTAACTAAGGTGCTATAAAAGTTATCGTAGGTCTTATAAAGCATATAGTTAAACCGAACGTAAACAATCATTTAAGAGTGCTCCAACAGCTTTTAAAACTTTTAATCAAATGGCAATACAACTACATTCTTGTTCAACTCTGGAAGCTATTATTCAACGTTTGATCAACTCAGGTGTTTTATAAGAGCTCCCAATGGTTTGTTTTGATGCGTTTATTCCACATCCTGTATGGCTCCTGTCAAACAGTTTAACCGAACGTAAACAATCATTTAAGAGTGCTCCAAGCAGCTTTTGAAGCTTTTAACCAAATGGCAATACAACTACATTCTTGTTCAACTCTGGAAGCTATTATTCAACGTTTGATCAACTCAGGTGTTTTATAAGAGCTCCCAATGGTTTGTTTTGATGCGTTTATTCCACGTTCTATAAGGCTCCTGTCAAACAGTTTAACCGAACGTAAACAATCATTTAAGAGTGCTCCAAGCAGCTTTTGAAGCGTTTAACCAAAAAGGCAATACAACTACATTCTTGTACAACTCTGGAAGCTATTATTCAACGTTTGATCAACTCAGGTGTTTTATAAGAGCTCCCAATGGTTTGTTTTGATGCGTTTATTCCACGTTCTGTATAGCTCTTGTGAATCAGTTTAACTAAGGTGCTATAAAAGTTATCGTAGGTCTTATAAAGCATATAGTTAAACCGAACGTAAACAATCATTTAAGAGTGCTCCAACAGCTTTTAAAACTTTTAATCAAATGGCAATACAACTACATTCTTGTTCAACTCTGGAAGCTATTATTCAACGTTTGATCAACTCAGGTGTTTTATAAGAGCTCTCAATTGTTTGTTTTGATGCGTTTATTCCATGTTCTATAAGGCTCCTGTCAAACAGTTTAACCGAACGTAAACAATCATTTAAGAGTGCTCCAAGCAGCTTTTGAAGCTTTTAACCAAATGGCAATACAACTACATTCTTGTTCAACTCTGGAAGCTATTATTCAACGTTTGATCAACTCAGGTGTTTTATAAGAGCTCCCAATGGTTTGTTTTGATGCGTTTATTCCACGTTCTATAAGGCTCCTGTCAAACAGTTTAACCGAACGTAAACAATCATTTAAGAGTGCTCCAAGCAGCTTTTGAAGCGTTTAACCAAAAAGGCAATACAACTACATTCTTGTACAACTCTGGAAGCTATTATTCAACGTTTGATCAACTCAGGTGTTTTATAAGAGCTCCCAATGGTTTGTTTTGATGCGTTTATTCCACGTTCTGTATAGCTCTTGTGAATCAGTTTACTAAGGTGCTATAAAAGTTATCGTAGGTCTTATAAAGCATATAGTTAAACCGAACGTAAACAATCATTTAAGAGTGCTCCAACAGCTTTTAAAACTTTTAATCAAATGGCAATACAACTACATTCTTGTTCAACTCTGGAAGCTATTATTCAACGTTTGATCAACTCAGGTGTTTTATAAGAGCTCTCAATTGTTTGTTGGGCTTTATCTGCGATGCAGGAAAAATTGTGTTTTGCTGTGGTTAGCTGCACGCAAAGCAGATTGATGACGATTCTAAAAATTTCTTGCAAAAAGAGGATGCGCGATTCAAGTAGATGCGATAAATGAAAGAAGATTATTCGAAGATAGATTCTCTAGTGTGAGATTTGTTGAGCATCTGGAATTGAGATTTAGATGTGTACCCTCGAGAAGGAATATGATTTCAAGCAACTTTACTGAAGGCTCCACGTTTGCGTGCGTTGGAGAAATTATTCTTGAGGTGAAG